AGGGTTGAAGGTTTCAGGGCTTAGGGTTTAGGGTGCGTGTCTGGCTTCAGCAGGGTTTAGGGTTTAGGGTTTAGGGGTTACAGCATTACAGGGTTTCAGGGTTTCAGGGTTTCAGGCTTAGGATCAGGGCTTGCAGGGGTTCAGGGTGCAGGGTGTCAGGATTCCAGGGTTCCAGGGTTTCTGGGTTTTAGGGCTTGGGGTGTCAGGGTTCCAGCGTTTCAGGGTTTCACCTACCCTAAACCCTAAACCCTAAACTGCCGAGAGCGCCGCTGTCCATATGCATGGGCGCTCGAGGCTTCGACCGAGGTCCCCGACCGAGCATCTCCACAGAACGGTGAGGGAGGGTAAAGCCTCCCGGTAGACGGGACGGCAGTGGCTGGCTACGCTCAGACCAAGGGCGTAAGCCCTTGGTAATGAGGACCCCAAACTGCAGGCATTGAGGTGTTTGGGTGTTTTTTTTGGGGTCGGGGGGTACCCCTTCCAGGGGGCCCTGGCCTGGCAGATTCCAGACACCTTTTACTGGCCTACACACGTCAAACCTCCCTGGAATGCTGGGCACCCCCCTGACACGCCGTGGGACCCGCCCTGAAACCCCCCTTTCTGGGACGCCCTGAAAACCCTGCCCCACCGCAGACCTTCTCTGGGACCTTTTGCTAGGACCCAGCTGCCTTTTCTCTGGGACCCCCTGCCTGGGACCCGCCTGCAATGTTTCAAACCCTTGTATGGATTGTTTAGTTTCGAAAAAGCAGGGGCCAGGTGAGGCCCCTCTACCCCCTACCGCTCTGCATGAAGCCCCGCGATGGTTTTGGGCACCCCTCCGTTTTCCTCCGTGAAAGCTCCAAGAAGCCTACGAGCCACTGACAGGCTCCACAAAGCTCAGGAGGCCCCACCTTGCTCTTTTGTACAAAGCAAGAAAGCCCCCTGGGTGCTTTTAGCACCAGCGAGCTTCCCTTCTACACACCCTAAACCTTAAACCCTCAACCCTCAACCCTCAACCCTAAACCCTAAACCCTAAAGCCTAAACCCTAAAGCCTAAAGCCTAAACCCTAAACCCTAAACCCTAAACCGTTTGCCTAAACCCTAAACCCTAAACCCTAAACCCTAAACCCTGCCAAGGCTCTGCGCAGCTGAAACTCAGCCTCCTCGACATGACCGGATCTCTGAGCTCACAGCCCACGAGTTTGAAGAGCACCTTCAGCTAGGAGAACAGCTTGCCGGAAGACCCCACAAGGTTCCCCTCTTTTAGGGGGGGGGGGGGTTAGGGTTTAGGTTTAGGTTTAGGGTTTAGGGTTTAGGGCCCTAAACCCTGAAACCCTACAAACGCCCACACCAGAAGCTGTCCTAGACTGAAGTGGGAGAGAGCCCCCAAGTTTCGAGACGACGGGCCCTGAAGGCTCCAGTGCAGTTCCCTCGACCTTTGTGGGCCTGCTGGCACTCATGGGTTCTTTAATTTAAGGATTCGGGTTTAGGGTTTGGGGGTTAGGGGTTTCTGTAGGGTTTATGGGGCTATAGGGATTAGAGAGTTGAGGACTTATTTAGCTTAAGGTTGTAGGGTTTACAGGTTTTTCACAGGAGTTATAGGTCACTGAGGGTATAGTGTATAGAACTTGGGATCTTATGGGGTTGATAAGTTCTACAGGGCGTAGAGGGTGCAGAGTAGGGGGTTTACATGCGTCCGCGCTCCGCATTCTCGATTTCCCCTCCCCCCATCTCCCCGCCCGACAGGCTTGGGTCAAAGAGATGATTTCGGGCTCGTGGCTGGCTGCCCTAAACCCTAAACCCTAATCCCTCCGAGCGCAGGTGCAGAAGGGGTTGATTCGAAAAGCTGGGCAGTTCGGCTACCCACAGACCTTCGAGCCAAGGATCGTGGCATTTTTTTGAATGTCCTTTCACGAATGTGGCCCCACCCACACTAGCGTACCCACAGTTTCTTAGGTAAGAGGCAACTGCAATGTCTAGGGCTTTTCTTTTTTTGTTGGATTCATGGGGCTTACCGGGGGACAGGTTTTGGAGGGATAAGGGTCATCAGGGGATTGCACTTGAGCCGCAGAGTCGTGAACTGAAACCGCGATGTCAGCGACCATGCTGAATCCGGGGCACGGTGGGCAGCGAGGAAAACATGCCTGGAAGCATCCCTAAAGGCTCTACAAACCCTAAACTTCTGTACCTCGAAAAGCCCTCAACCTTAAGCTCGATGGTCCCTAAACCCTAAGCCCTAGATCTTCGCAACCCTAAACCCTAAACCCCAAACCCTAAACCCTAAACCCTAAACCCCAGACCCTGAACCCTAAACCCTAAACCCCGCAGCCCTGCTTCCTAAGCTTGACTCTAAAGGCGATTTGGGGGGCTTGGCCAGTAGGTGCGAAGTAGAGTTCTACGTACCTGACCCTACTTCTCTCCTCACGTACAACTACCCGTATGAACCTCCACATGTAGACCCCCTTAAGTAGCTTAAGGAGAATGCTAACCTTAAAAGGGTTTATGGTTCACATACCTTGATGGGGATTATAGTAGTATAGAGGGCATGTGGCCTCAATTTTAGGGGTTCATTTGGGCCCCCCAAGGTACCCAAAACTCCCCTGTGGGCGCCAGGTAGGCACGTCCTCCTCTTCGGTGCAAGCGCCACACATGGGGCGCGCCAGCGGCGACGTCCTACGAGCCCTAAACCCTAAACCCCCGAAACCCTAAACCCTAAACCCTAAACCCTGTGAACCCCAAAGACCTGAACACTTCGGGAGCCCCCCAAACCCCAGAAGCCCAAACCCTACCAATTAAGCCCCGGCCCCCCACCCCAAAGCCCGCAAACCCTAAACCCTAAACCCTAAACCCTAAACCCTAAACCCTATAGACCCTGTGAACCCCCAAAGCCGTGCGGCCTGCGCGCAGGGTTTCGGCAGCTCAGGCTTTAGGGCTGAGAGGCTCAGAACGCCAGGAGTTAGGGTTGAGGGTTTCAGGTTTAGGGTTTCGGGTTTAGGGTTGAGGGTGTTTGGGGGGTTTATAGGTTCAACATTTTTTAGGATTTAGAGTTTACGCTTTAAAGTTCGGCATCAGACATGGCGTCTGTCTGCATGGCATCAGCGATGCCCGGCGTTTGGTTCTGAGCTCGTTTACAGCAAACTCTCCCGGCCCCAGAGGCCCAAGCGACCCTAAACCAAAAGCCGCAAACAACCTTAAACCCTAAACCCTACACCGCCAACCCTAAACCCTGAGCTAGGACAAGCCCTAGAGATCTGAAAAGCCCTGACATACCCAAGTACAGGAATCGTGAACGCCCAAACAACCGTAAAGCCGTACGTTAAAACACCCCAAGCGACCAATAGCTAGGACCCAGAGTATGCCCCTACTCTTCTCTTGTAGGGTTCAGTTTCCCTTCTAAGCCCCTTTAACCCTAAACCCTAAACCCTTTTTGTTGTTAGGGTGGTCTTGGGTCTTGGCAGCGACTGGCAACAAGACCACAAAACACAGCAGCAATTGCAAAGAGCAGCTGTGCAGATACCGGCTTGGGGTATATAGGGTTTAGGGTTTAAGTTTAGGGTTTTCGGTTTAGGGGGGTCGTACGTCTCCAATCCTGAGCTTCTAAACTTGTTGGCTTCCTTTAGCCCCAAGTCTGGGCCCCAGAACTGCGCCCGACGCCCCAACCTCACCCCTGCAAGCTCCGGGAGTCTCCGTGCCCAGAAAACAATCGAGGGTTCGGGGTGTGCAGGGCCAGGATTTTGGATTTAGGGTTTAGGGTTTAAGGAGGGTTTAGGCTTTAGGCTTTATTAAGGGCCCCCTACACCCGAACCCCTGAGACTCACTCTCACAGCCCCACGACCACTCTCCCCCCTTTAGGGCATAGGGCGTTGTGGCATGGACCTTTAGGGTCTATTTGGCACTTCCTTTTTGTTTGCTATTTAAACGGTTCAATTCACACATACAATTTGTGGGGTTTAGGTTTAAGGCAAAATTTATGGCTTAGGGCTAGTTCGGTTCACGGCTCAGGGCTCCCATGTTTGGCATCACATCTCTTATTTTCCTAGGGCTTCGCCACCTACCTCTCATTCCGTTTTCCATTCAACCCTCGTCTAAGGGTCTGGTGTTTGCGATAAATATACTACTTTAAAAGAATCAATAATAACATAAATAACGCTAACTACAGGAGCTGCTGGAAATGACAAACCCTGAGCGCCTTCAAGTGTGTTGCTTCAATTAAGACGATAATATACTCTTTTGTTGATAAATATTCCCATGACCATATTGTTGTTTCAGCCGCTTTTCGCCTTTTCCTATTAGTATTGTTTTTGTTTACCTGATATAACACCAAGGAAGGGGAAAGGGAAAACACCACTTCATCTCGATGTGTTTATCTCTCCTTTCCTTCCCTCTCAAGATTTTTCTTTTGTTAATCTCCCTCTCTCTCTCTCTCTTCTTCGCTCTGTCTCGCTCTCTCTCTCTCTCTCTCTCCCTCTCTCTCTCTCTCTCTCTCTCTCTCTCTCTCTCTCTCTCTCTCTCTCTCTCTCTCTCTCTCTCTCTCTCTCTCTCTCTCTCTCTCTGTCTGCCATCTCTTGCTCTCTCATCCCTCCCCTCCCCTCTTTCCTTCCTCCCCTCCTTTCCAAAACTTTCTGCGGAGAATAAGGACAACTGTTGCGGACTTTTAGTCGCGATCTGAGCCCTGCAGGTTTGCATGGATGCACATTACAAATCAAGATTTAATTAAGTCAACTCCAAACTCTCATTCTGGAAAAGAGGCAACGAAGAACATGTGCAGCTAAGGTACCTGAGACGGGAGGGTTTTCAACATGCCTCCCGAGCCCAAGTGGTCTACACACGGGCGAGCTTCAGCACACCCGGCTCAGTAGAAGCACTTTACAAATCATTACAAGTCAAATTTGTTACATTGTTGCCCGGCGAGAGTTGACATCACAGATGTTGGGCTCACACTTACTGCGGCCCAAGGGCTCTTCAAACGGCTTACTTGCTTTGTGAATTTCGAAAACACATGCGGGGCACTAGCAGTGGCTTCAAGTCACAGCCAACGCAAGTGAGTGCTTGCCTGTCGAGAACCGACAGTTCATGGCCGACAACAACGCAGAAGCGCGAGCTTCATGCAAATGCTTTGTGAACATGTCAGCCCTGTTCACATCTGTACATATTTTAAACACTTTTACATCTTTGTTGGCTACTCTGTCCTGCAACCAAAGATACTGGGTCTCCAGATGCTTCGCCCGGCCCAGTCCCTTCTTTTCTGCCAACGCCTTCCCGGCAGAGCTGTCTGTGCACAATCGGATACCGACTTCAACGCCGATATCTGCGAAGAGACTTCTCAAACCCATGGCTTGACTGCATCCCTTCAGCATGCCGTAAAACTCGGATTCTCCAGTTGACAAGGCGATCACCGCTTGGTTCGAAGAGTAGCTCCTCAAAGGGCTACTTCCGAAAAACACGGCACCACCACTAGTGGATTTCCGAGTCTTGCCACACCCTGCGAAATCAGCATCAACCTCTGCAACCAGGTCTCTTGGCATGTCTTGCCATTCGAACCACAAGAGCATACGGCGATGCGAGATCAAGTAACGACCAAGCCTGCGCAATCTTCTCATTGATGCTTCTGTCGGGGATGACATTTCGCGAGCGAGTTCCTTCACACAGTACTGGCAGTCAGGCCTTTCAGAACACATATAGGCTGCTCTCATGACACAAGACCTGAACAGAGTGGTATCTGCAGGTGAGAGCCGCTTCTGCGTCAGCTCTGCTTCCTCTTCGGGTTGCAGCTTCACGCCTGGCGTGCTCAAGCCTTTGGCATTCTTCAGGCCCAAGCTGCTGATCAAGATCTCTGCGTGACGAGGATCCGCTTCTAGGGAGTAGCCAGAATTCTCACGAGACAGCAAGCGGCCAAGGATTCGAACACTTTGTCCTGGACTTGAAAGTGTCGCGCAAAACTTGCACTTCCACATTTCTCGAAAACGCTCATGCAGCCACTTGATGTCTAGAGCTCTCGCCACAGACACGAAGTCATCACCGTGAACTTCAAGTCGAATGTCTTTGTGCGGATGATAAAACAAGCAACTGGATGCGCGCCCCTGTAAAAACCCAAGTGAGAGAAGCACCTTGGTATACTGTTGCTCCCAGTTGTGGGCCGCATCTCTTGTGCCATACATACTCTTCTTCAAAACAGCGACATGTTCAGGCATTTCCATTTCGGGCGGCAGCTCTACGACAACATACCTGGTGGCGTCTGCGCACCAATGTGCACGGCTAATATCAACGAAATCCATGACATACTCCGGGTTAGTAGAGGCTACAGCAATGAGTGCTCGCAAGCTTTCTGTTGGCGGCGTCGACGCATAGAAACCAACCTCAGATGGCTTGTGTCCCTTAACTTCTTTCGCCACAATCCTGGCGCGGTAACTGGGCGATTTGGAATCACCTTTGTTGACCAGCACCCACCTTGTAGGTATGACTTTGGTCCCACTTGGCAGTTCTGACCTCAGAACAGGCGTCCACAAGCCCATCTCGTCAGCTATGCGCAGCTCCTCCTTTTTCGCAATCTCTACCAAGCGAGAGTTGAGTCCTAAGCCACTGACGTCATCGAAGTACTCGTCCCAGCAATCTTTGCTATGACTCTGTTCACACAAACTGGGTTCATCGCAAATGGGCTCCTGAACCGCAGCATCCATTGAGAATACTTCGCTCCGATGACTCAGGATGGCCTCTTGCAGCATGCTCTCGAAAGAATCCGTCATCGCTGTCTGAGCTTCCGGACCCAAGCTCTCAGGTTCTGCAGTCCGTCTCTCATCCATGGCTTCAGGCGGCTGCTCGGCAGGCCGTTTGGATGATGGGGACCTTGCCTCCTGAGCAGAGTCCACTGCTGCACTTGACTCAGCTGCCACTGCCACATCACCAGGTTGTTGCTCCAATCTGGCTCGCTTCACGGCTTTCTGTTCCTCGTCATACTTCTCCACCTGTCGGGCCAGCCATTTGTCACGTCTTCCGTCTGCAGAAGTGACTTTGGAAACCAGTTCTTCATCTCCGCTGGCTTTCCATGCTGCTTCAAACCTGGCCCTACACTCCTCACTATGCTTGCCATAGAGGCCACGCCTTAACTTATCACACCCATCGCAAAGTGGAGTGAAACCGAACTTTAAGGCGTCAGACATACGGATGGCTGCCCTCCTGGGAGCACGGTGGGCATTAACCACGAACGGCACTGGCAGACCTTGTGGAGGCATTTCAGGAACAACAACTTGCGGGGCTTCACCGCCTTCGGCGTTCAACCCCCACGGTGTAGCCCTCATGGACAAAAGCTTCTCTTTGTGGGGCCACAACTGAGTCTCGCGTGAAGCTCTTACGCTCCACACTTTGACTACTTTCATGGTCTCAAAACACAAAACAAATCGTTCGGTGGTCAGGTCGGAAGTGCCAAGGTAGCATCCCTCTGACCATCTTGGCGCGAGTTTGCCAGCTACAGCTTTCAGTTTAAACACTATTGCAGCACCAAATTCAAAAACTGGCTCTCGCCAGGGTCTGCCTCTCAAGTTCTGACAGGCAGTCCTTCCAGATGCCGTTCTGTGAAAATGATGCAACAACCACGACGCATGCCGAACTAACCAAGGAAAAATGGCATGGTTCGCCGGGAACTCGCACTGCAAACGTTCGTGCAACATACTCAGCAATGTGCGGGCTTGTTCCTGCACGCTTCTACAGGCACGCTCCACAAAACCGTTGGCCTCGCTCTCTTCAACGGGACTGTGCTCAAAGGTAACTTTGACTTCAACAGGAAGCAAGGCAACTGCTGCACGAGCTAATGCCACCAAGGAAGGCTCGCCATCTGTCTTGAGTGTAAACTCGCGATAGCCTAGCACACGGAAAATGTCAGCAAGTGCTTGAACACTGTACTCATGCACACAGCCTTTTGAGGGAACTAAGCGCGCAAAGACAGCCAGGTCGGGCTTGGATTTGACAACCATCACAGGACTTTCGCTCGCGTTTCCCTCGCTGCTGCTCAAAAAGCAATAGTCAATGGCCACCAACGGCTTGGTGTACTCCGTATTTGAAGGCTCTTTGTGCGCCAAAGCTGGAGCTTTGCCCCGGATGCAATGGCGGCACCAAGGACGAAAAGGCAAATGAGTGAGACAATGCTCTCGGACTTCCGAGTCCGAGGGCAGAACTGGAGATTTGGGAGTTGTAGCAGCTTGCGCTTCAGCATGCTCCGAATCTCCGTGCTCGTCGTCTTGAGGACTTACAGTGTCGTGCCCCAAGACACCACCTGCCTCCGGAAACCCTGCCCTTCAGCAGAAACGACACCGACAACACCTTGCACACCCTGGTGCTCTCCTACACTCACAGGCGCTACAGGGGCAGAGTCTCCAGATCCAGACCCTCCACCTTCACTAAAGGGGGCTAAAGGAACCACGCTTGCGACTCCGCCACTGGAAGGTGACAGCCACACGCCAACTTTGTAAAGACCCTTCGTCTCTTCCATCCAGATCTTCCCACAACCCTTTGGTTGGATGTAGCTGTTCCCTTCCTCGAAGTGACAGATGCCACCTTTGCTACAAACATCCGACACAGCAAGCAGCGGTTTGTGTATATCGGCCACTGCGGAAGAAAACGAAACAGCTACCCCAGAGTCCGTGAATGCCCTTAGCTTCTTACAGCCTTGGTCCGAAACCGTGTGGCCAGTTGCAGTTTTAAACTGCCGACCAAGCTTGCTCGTCTCACTCACTTGGACAGGCTCTTTCGGCGCAATGCATGGCGGAATTGCAGTAGACCCGGCTCCGGAATCAACAGTGAGCTCCACGCGCGACCAACCTTGCTGAACAGTGTGCCAGGACTGGGAAGCAACAAACTGATGGTCACCATCCACGTGCGCGAGGTCTACTTCAAAACCGCCAGCTTCAACCGGCTCTTGCTGCTGAGGGGACTCATCCAACGTGTTCAAGCTCTTGTCCTTGCCCTTCGCAGACTTAGATTTAGACTTAGACTTGCCTTTGCTTTTGGGTGCTTTGTCAGGGTACTTGTCCCAACAGTCAGCCTCCTTGTGGCCTTGTCGATGACAGAAGTTGCAGTTACCAGTAAACTTCTGAGACTTCCCTTTGCCACTAGGAGTCTTGCCATGTGGGTTCGGAGCACCTTTTCCTTTTCCTTTGGAAAAGGAAGCAAGCAAAGAGCTCAACTCCTCAACAGACTTGACACCAAGCTGTGCGAGACTACCGATGTCCATAGGCACGGGCCCTGTGGAGGATGAAGAAAGCGACTGCGAGGACTGCGACGCTAGTTGGGTCTGAGCTTGCAGTTCAAGAAAGTGCACAACCTCCGCACGTGCCTTTTCATACGTGTCGAAACTTTTCAAGTTCAACTGCATGTGTGTCTTCAAGGGATCTACCAACATCTTCAACAGCATCACGCGCTTGAAGCCATCAGACAGTGTGTCTAACGTGCGTGTTTCGTGCTTGGTCATCATTTCTTCCCTACGCTCCAACTCGGCAAGAATCTCCGTAGGGTTAGTGCTGGAGAAAGGACCCAGGTTCACTATCTGCGTTAGCAAAGAAAGATCTGTCTCCTCTGACTGGGGATCAAACCGATGACACAAGCGACGAAACGCGTCCAAACCAGCACTCGGCCCTTTGAAACTCTTCTCTACAACAGCAAAAGCTTTACTTTCACAAACGGAGAGAAGAGTTGCATTCAAATGGGCAGATATCCGCTCAGCATCCGGATGTTTGCTGGTCAAACTCTGAAAACGTGCAGCATCTACAACTGAGGTTTCGTCGTCAAGAACATCCGTCAGCAACTTTTCGGCCGACTTGAATGCGGTTTGCACCCAGTTGACGTACTTGAGCTTCCAAACCCTGAAATCTTTTTCAGCTACTTTGTCCGTCAACTTTTCAGGCTGCCCAACACCGCGAACGTCTACAAGGCTACCCAGTCTTTGCTCACCAGAGGAACTCAACTTGCCTAGCGCTTGCGTGAAATGCTGATGCTGCGCAGTCAGTGCTTGCTGCATCACTTGTATCCTCTGCTCGTGGGACTCCTGCTGCTGTTGCAGCAGCTGCTGGGTTTGAGATTGCAACGCTTGGATGAGCTGTTGCATCTCCGACATTCTGAAACTGGGTGTGACAAGGTTTCGGCTCACGTGCTTTTCAGGTTTCCCAAAGGAACTCAACCAGAGCTCCGCACTACCATGTTGCGGACTTTTAGTCGCGATCTGAGCCCTGCAGGTTTGCATGGATGCACATTACAAATCAAGATTTAATTAAGTCAACTCCAAACTCTCATTCTGGAAAAGAGGCAACGAAGAACATGTGCAGCTAAGGTACCTGAGACGGGAGGGTTTTCAACAACAACAGAGAACAAAAAGGAAAAGATAGGATGAAGGCAGATGGTGGGGACAGGAAGGGAGAACTCCTCTTTCGCTCGGCTCACACGTTTTCTCTTCCCTTGCCTTCATCCTCTGCTCTTCTCCCTTTTCTCTTCATAAGAAGAAAGGACAAATGAAAGGAACCGAAAGCTCAGGGAAAGCAAGACGCCCTCGCTCTCATCATCTGCCCCTTCCTCGACTTCATTGCTCTATTCCTTTTTCTTCTCTCCTGTCTCATTGGTGATCAGTGATAAACCAAGACGAGCTTGCCGTTCTTTCATTTTCTTTTTCTGGTGGAAAGCTAAGAAGCAGGAAGGAGAGGAAGGAAAGTGGAGAAATAGAAAGAGAAGCAAGAACGGAAAGAACAATACGCAGAAATGACAGAGAGGAAGGGAGAACTGCAAGCCCAGCAGAAGAAGAAGAAGATAGAGAGAGAGAGAGAAGAGATGAAGATAAGATAAGGGTGAAAAGGTGAAAAGAATGAAAACAAAAATCTAACAGCAAAGTAGCTAAACAAAACCTTCTGGCCTACCCCCTCAACTCTAAACCACCCTAAACCCTCGGTACATTGAGATTTAACGGCACAGTTCCCGTAGCATGCTATATCAGAAACCATTTATTCCTACGAGACGTACAACCGCCTAAAACACGGTGACAAAAAATAAAACAGCGAGGCATCTGAAAAGACTTTCTGGCCTTCCCCTTCAACTCTAAACCACTAAACCCTCGCTATATAAAGGCTTAACAGCACAGTTCCCGTAGCACGCTATGTCATTTCTTCTTACGAGACGCACAACATAAACCAAGGTTTCGTATACTTTTTGTAGTCAGGATGTGATATCCTGTTGCTTTGGACGAGTATTACGTAAGACTTTAAGCGCCTGTGGGTCTTGCGGATAATTGGAGAATAAGCATCATCCTTGACAAATGATAACCATGATGGGAGACCTGTGGGAAGCATTGAGAATGAAAAAGCAAGATACTTGCGAGCAATTACTTGCAGCCTGTTGGAAGGTCTCAGGAAATCGCGAAAGGACATTTGCTCACAGTATTCTCGTGTCCCTGGGGCTTAAAGTAAATGATTTTCCGCATTACCCTATGCGCTCGAATACTTCTGAGTCTCATGGTTCGTTCTCCGCTATCGGTATTTGATACGCCATACATTTATCCTATATACACACTTGATGTGGGCACCTATTCTACGTACTTTCTCTTTGCGTTTTGCTGACTGAGAGATGTTTTCGGGTGTGAAAAGGCCTTACGCGCCAACATCTGCTTCTGGACAACAAAGTAGAGATAATATGTTTTGTGAAGGGGGGGCCAAGACAGTGCTTAATCGGCCCTGGGTTTGACGATTGAAGATTGAAGACGCCGGGGAACTCTCCCCGGATTGAAGATGCTCCGGGGAGAGTTCCCGGGCATCTTCAATCTTCAACCTTCAAACACAGGGCCGATTAAGCGCTCCACCTGCTGCTTAATCGGCCCTTGGATTGAAGATTGAAGATTGAATATGCCGGGGAACTCTCCCAGGAGTATCTTCAACCCCAGACCCCTGCCGATTAAGCACTTCATCTGCCTAGTCGGCCCAGGGTTGAGAATCCAGGATTGAAGGTGCTCCGGGGAGAGTTCCCGGGCATGTTCAATCTTCAAACCCAGGGCCGATTAAGCAGGCGGAGCGCTCAATCGGCCTTGAGGCCGAAGGATCAGGATTGAAGATTCTCGGGGAGAGTTCCCCGGCATCGTCAACCCGATTAAGCAGCTGGAGCGCTTACTCGGCCCTGGGGTCCAGTAGTTCAATATTTCATATGCTCTGCTAAAGTCTGTAGAATTTTCAAGCCCCCCTCCCAAAGACCCATCTGTATTTTGGTGTTTGGGATACCGTAAGCCAAAGCTAAATGAAAGGGAAGAAGTCCCTTTTTCCTCTGCCAATCTTCTTCCTCCCACTCCTCTCTTCCTCTCCTATTCCTTTCTTAGCATAGAGCATGGAGTGATGAGAGGGAAGGGGTGAAAGCGGATGAGAAAAGTGACAGAGAGGGCAGGGCGAAATCTTCATTTCCTTGCCTTTTTCGTCCCTCTCACCTCTCCTTCTCATCGTTCTCTTGCTTTCTCGTTTGAGAAGGATGTGGACAGGGCATGGAACAAGGCGAGGGAAGGGGGGGGGGCGAAATCGAGTGAGAAAGGATGGAACAAGGAAGAAATGAAGAAAAATGGACAGGACAGGTCAGGTGTTTGGTTTGGCGACTATACACGTACCTGGACCAGCAGAGCGACAAGCCCAAACCAAAGAGAAAAAGCAAATCCAAATCGCCCACCTCCCGCTCACCCATCTGAAAAAAAACAACAAAAATGCATCCGTAGCGAGTGTTCGCCTACGGTCAAATCGATCTACAGAGGTCCCGGCACATCCCTTGTCGAACAGGCAAAAAAGCAGAAACATAGCAAGGGGGGGTCGGGCTTGCCATTGGTGTTGGCATGTGGCCAAAACACCGCCACAAGGGGATCGTGTCCCCCTGCACCCTTCGGCTAGTCGTGCCAGCCAATCCCTTGACAGGCAAAATCCGACCACGACGTATCGACGCCTCCCCCCGCCACGAACCCGCCTTTTTCGTAGAAGCTGTCAACAGGCCCGATTTCGCCGATTCCGAACCGGCTGAAAACGACGACACACTCGCAACAGCATGTGAACAAGCGAGTGAGGGTACTCTGGGTGTGAAGTTACCGCAAAAACCTCGAGAAGAACTTGACCGAGAGTATCTTCGTCCGACAGCCCACCCAGGAAGCTGCCCGAGACGACACCGCTTCGAGAGAAGGCGGCGAAGGCACTCCATGAGCACCCCCCCCCAACACCTTCCCCCGAACAAAGAAACCCAATGGCACGGGACCAGTGGAGCAAGACCGCAAGAGTGCGGATGCCGTTAAGAGAATTGGCGGCACTCTCACCCCATCAGTATAAAAGGCCCACCAAACTGTAACCAACCAAAGTGACAAAGGTGACACCCCTCAGGGTATGGAGTTGGTCTCAGTAGGGGCACTACCTTACCCCTAGCTGAGTCCCTTCCCTCGCCCACGTGGAGGACTCCGCCGTCGGGGTGAGGAAACATGGCTCAGAAGAGGAAGCGAGAGATACCCTATCCCATCCCAATGTTGCTATATCTCAGGGGCCTCCCGAATGCAGGGGCCTCTAGAGGCTAGAGCTTCCAGTAGCATCCAACCCTCCCTCCCAGCTCGACATGAGACATTGCCTCTCCTCCCCTCCCCTCACCTCTTCCTTTCCTCGCAGAAAGAGACAGACCATAGTCCGCAATCTTATAATGCCCTTCATTCTCCTTGCTTAAGCTTGCCTTTTCTATCTCCCTACTTAATGGCAAAAGGAACAGAAGAGGAAAGGCTCATGGGCTGGACACGAGAAAAGCGAGAGCGGGGTCAAGGAGGAGAACGAACATGGAAAAGAAAGGAAGGAGAGCTAGAGGGAAGATAGAGAGATAGAGAGGAGAAATGAAGGACAAAGACCGTGGAAGAAAGGCGTGAGCAATGCTCGGGACATAAGTGTAAGGGGTGAGGAAAAGGAACAGTGGATAACAAAAACAAGTGTCCTGCTTGACCCCTTTTTGTTCTCCAAGCGGCCCTCTTTTCACCATCGCTTCCTTCTTCCTCTCCTTCATTGTTTTTGTTTCCTTCACCCTGTTCCCCTATCTGTCGCTCTTCCACTGTCTTCCTTCTTCCTCTTCTCCCTAATTGTTGTCTCCTTCTCTTTGCTTCTCTCTCTCACTCCGGTGCTCCCCGGCGTTTTCTGTTCAATTGCTCATCCTTTCCGACTTTACGAGGCGGACCCTGTACAAACGATGGGTCCTGTTCTGGACATGGTCCCGCACTGCCTCTTTCCACACACTCCAGACCCCTCTGACCCGCCCCAAGAGTTTCGGGCGGCCTTCAGAGAGCGTCTCCCAGGGGCCTCCAAGAGCCCCCATATTGCCAAGAAGAAAAACCACACAGAGACATGTAGAGAAGTAGTTACGAGGAGCTGGAGAAGTCCTCCTTCCATCATATCATTCCCTTCATTCTCCTTGCTTAACCTTGCCCTTCTTCTACCCCCCCTACTTAATGACAAAAGGAACAGAGGAAGAAAGGGCCGCAAAAGGGACACAAGAAAGGGAGAGTGCAGAAAGCGGGCGCACGAAGAGCGAAAACGAAAGGAAGGAGAAAGAAAGCTTCTTAAAGACAATAGCATTCAGAAGAACAACGAAATCCTGTCATTTATTGAAATACTGGATGGACTCGTTGATTCCTTTTCAAATGAAGGGTTCTATCGTTCACGGTGTTCCTTAGAACAGGAGGGCCTTTCAGGACAACGCCCTCATCTGTATTCAACATAGGCAGGGCTACCTCTGATTAAGAATACACGGAACGGTTCATTCTAAGAAAATAAACTCTCTCATTTCAATCGGAGCGGACGGACCCACTCATCTATCAAGCAAAAGAGCCGAAAGCATTTGGGAGGAATTAAAATACGAATGAGGGGCTATCGCAGTATCTTTTTGTCTTCTGACACGGATTCTTTGACAGAAGGGGTTCCTGCCTCTTGTTTCTTTCAAGAAAGGGAGGCTTTCGAGTGGCAAGGGGCGAACTCACGCCCACCCCAGTCTTTGGGGCCACTCTGAAAACAGCTTGGAGAGGACAGTTGCTTCTCTCTCCTTTTTCTGTTTCTCTATCTCTTGCTCCGTGTCTGTCGTTCTCCTTCCCTC